AGCAGTCACCGGCCACATCGACCTGATCAGTGTTTGATTGTTGTGTCTTGTTGCTTTTCTTCTTTTGTCTCTCCTCTATCCACTCACCCCAACCGGTCGAGGCAGAAGGCCGCCCACCAAGAGCCGGGGTCTGTCGGAGGTTTCTTCCGTTAAAGGGAGTTTTTCCTCCCCACTGTCGCCAAGTGCTTGCTCAAGGGGGATTTGTTGGGTTTTCCCTATGTAATAATATTGATAACAGTAAAGTATCCTGAGATGACTTTTGTTGTGATTTGGTGCTATACAAATAAAATTTGATTTGATTTGACATAAGATACATTACGTTGTAGCTTGGTATCCATCTACCTTACTGCAGCTGGAATGAGGTATCCTTTGTATTTTAACAATGTTTCACTTATGATTTATTGTTCCAGGATCTCTGAATATTTAATGCTACCTTAGTGATATTTTTTCAGGCAAGAAAGTCACCATTTAGATTTAGAATATCTGGTCAGTCTATGCGGTTGGTTCATATTTAGAGACTTGCTATGGCGTTTTTTTTTTTTAGAGATGTGAGTACCAGCTAGAGGACCATCACGTTCTCTTTCCTCTTCATCTTCAGACTCAGACTGCATCAGCACTGAAATGTCCTGCCATTCTGAATATCTAAATACCAAAATTGAAAAAAAGAATTCCTAGCCACAGAATGAATATATGAATGTGCAGGTCTATCCCTAACAATCACATCACTACAGAAGCAGAAATTTCCTGTGTGTGTGTGTCTGTACAAGCAGCGAGACGGTCACAGTACAGTCTGCAGTAACCACTGAACTATTAAAAGCAGGCGGGTTCATTCTGTCCAGTGATATTGTTGCAATGACAAGCAGTACTAGGTCATAACCTATTGTTCTAGCCATTAACCACTAAGGAAGTTTTAGTACAGTTTATGCTGACAATATAAGAAAGTTTGATGGATAAGTGTCGACCAGTCAGAATGCTTACTCGCTTCGTCGGCGTGCCTCCATCCCATCCGGTAGAAAGAGTTTGATTGTTGATACAATGCAGCCATGGGTGACTGGAAAAACAGACAGACAACCAATATGTTAATAAACTCACTCATGTCTATGCAACTAAGTTTCAGACTTTAATTTACATGAGGTTCTGCAACAAAGTCCCTCATCATCAGTAAACACAAAGACTGTGGGAGATTTGTCCTGAACAACACAATCATCCACCAGCAAAGAAAAAGAGTCCAGAAATTGCAGCTGCTCTCACACCTTTAGGACTGACACAGTGATGCAGGTTCAAACTAGTGCAGACTGTGCTTTAAAATGTTTAGACATGTTGTGCTGGTCACACTACAAGACATTTCTATAGCAGACTGTTGTGGTGATGTAAGGAAGAAAATGCTAAACACCTGATTAATATGAGGTGTACTGATTTAAGGCCTTTTTCCATCAGCGTGGGTGATGCGGAGTCAAGCAGGCGCGTGCTCGCCTCTGTTTCCATTTGTTTCTGAGAGTAGGGGATACTGAACCTGAGCCAGCATGATGCTGGGCCCCAAAGTCTGACCTGCTTCACCACATGCACTGCATCCACTCACCATCTGCCATCTTAGACTGCTCTCCTGGGTGCCACAAGCACATCTTGCTTTTGGTCAAGACAAAATGAAAAATGTGTCTGGTACAACTCATGGTCAAGTTAAGATTTGTCTGAGGATAGCTCAAACTAGGCAACTTGCAAAATCAAAGAGCACATTTCTATTCCAGAGTTTTGTTCTCAGGTCTCAGAAATTCATGTCAAAGATGCATATAATCTGCACTAAGCCTTAAAGAAGCATTTGGATGGTGGTGCCCACTTTAGCCCATTTACTACAAATCACCTTATCTTTACATCAAAGATAACCATTTGGATGTTGCTGTGTAAGATTCTATTAGCTTTTCTATAAAAACCTTGCAAGGTTTATATAGCAGCAACATGTTTGGACCTGTAGACTGGAGTAGTTGTGAAAAAGGGATATTCCAAAGCAAGGCGAGTGCCTGCTTTGGAATGAAAGTGGTAGCAGTAGATGTGAAAATTTAACCTCAATATCTGCTGTACAGTGTATGTGTACACTATGTAGTCTATGACTACAAAGTGAAAAGTCAGCCTAAGGTACAACTGAGGGTTAGTCAAGTGTAATTATGTCAGGGTGTAATGTGTGGATGTATTTACTACAAGGAAGGACTATTTCAGGTTTCACCTCACCCTAACCATCTTCTTTCCAATCTTCTTCTCTGTCAACATAATGTAACACTTGTCCATTATAAACAGTGTTTGTGTGCACTACTAGGACTTTAATATACTGTCGTGTGCAATTATACGTGCATGTACCTTTGCGCGTGTTCTCAGTGACATCAACACCAAACTGAATGATGTCTCCGGAGAGGACCTCACAGGGTGGACTCTCTTCAGAGCCGCGACTCAGCCTTTGGCTATTGATGAACGTCCCATTGCTGCTTTTAGTGTCCTGCAAGTAGAACTGACACACAAACAGATCAGGTGAGAACAACATGAAGAAGTCGATACAACAATGTCACAAAAAGGGCAGAAATTATTATACACTTTGAAGCAGAGTCCAGCTAGAATCACTAAAGGATAAGGATTGTGACGTTCTATGTTTTGGTCATTTTCATCAAAACGCCACACAGCGACTAAAACCAACACTGAATTTCATGTACTCTCTGTAATGTCTGTGAATCCCAACCCTGGTTTAGCTTAGTCAACTGTGAGGTAGACCTCCATTAAACACACACCAGTGAGCCACACCACTGCACAGGATGATGTTTCTCTCTCATGATATACATAGGATACTTGCACTGTTATCTGGGAGCACACAAAACTAGCAGAGATCGTGTGCAGCTCACTCTTCCTTAATTCATAGACTGCACAAAGTAATTTTCAGTGTATCAGGCTGGCTAACACATTTTTCATGAAAAAGAAACATCACCCAGTGCAGTGGTATGGCTCACTGGTGTGTTTTAGTCTTCAAACAACTGAGGAGGCCTATGGAAAGTGGAATTAGATAAAACAGGGTTTGGATTCAAAGACACTACAGTGAGTACACAAAATTCATTGTTAGTTTTAGTCTCTGTGGGATTTTAAGAAAAAACAACAGCCTAGAAAGTCCTTATCCTTTAACAAAACTGACAAAAAGAACAGGAAAAAAATACAACACTGAATGACAGCGTATTCGGCTGCAGCTCCTAACGAAATTTCACAAGTTTCTATAGCAATTTTCAAACCAAAGCATATCAGTGTTTAGGCCATAGGACAAGGCTAAAGTTCAATGGTACGTTATCAAATCCAAAGCTGTTATATTCTTACATATTTTTTTATTATATTGCTGCATCTGTTCCTGCTTAAAGTGCCTTAGATTTTGTGTTATTTATCTACTTTATATTTCATTTGTATTTTGTGGCATTCATGTGGACGGCAAAGTAAGAATTTCATTGTACAGGGAAACAAGTTTCCTAACTGTGCATATGACAAAATAAACACTTTGAACTTGAATTCCAGATCCACTTATCAAATCCGAATTCTTGAATCCCTTATTGAATCTGTTTCTTAAGAATTAAAATAGTATATTTATTCATTTTGTGCTTACAGCAGCAAAACAAGTTAATTTTTGGAACAAAAAGCGTAATATTCATGAACCTAGCTTTTCCCAACCACAGCAGGTCATTTTAATTGCAGTGTATCCCCTACATTAGTATAGGAATGGCAGGCCGCCAGGCCTACACCACAGGCCAAATGTACACTTATTTGGAAATAATTACTTGTGTTTAGGAGCCTTTGTCAGCTGTCTCTCTCAGAATATTTCACCAACTTAGAACCGGATCCAAAACAGAACCCAGCCCTACATGGACAGCAGCCAAGAGCTGCCACGACCAGAATGTCACAATCAAATACACACAATAACAATATCATCTCTTTTGATGAGATATTAATATATCAGCCGTTGTACTTAGTTTTCAAGAGTGTAGTGATGTCAGCCGTATAGAGGCGTTAGCTGCAGTCACTTGTTGCATAATTGAAGAAGCTGAATCCACCCAGGTAAACCATTTCCCGCACTCTGTTTTGTTGTGGGAGTAAAAGCACCAACATGGCTCCACAATTAACTAGAACAAGAGTCTGTGTGGCTGTACTTGAGCTAAATGCTTACATTGATGGTATTTAGCAGGTATAATGTTTCCCAGTTTCACCATCTTAGTTTAGGGGGTTAGCACTAAGCACCAAGTACAACTGAGGCTGATGGGAATTTCAGTTTTTGCGGGTTGTTAGTCATAAAACAAAGTGTTGCTTAAATATAGACCTGATGTTAGAATAGGTGGTTACCAAAGTCTGTAGGTTTCAGCCTCCAAGAACCATGAATGTACAAAATTTGACATTCCATCTAAACGTTGTTGAGCTACTTCAGTTTAGACAGGCCAACCTACATTGCCATCCTGGGAATCACAAGACAAGCACAGCTTAAAACAGTACCCACATATACAGTATACAGCTAAGTCATATTGGTGATCCTTAGGTCTGACACCACTCAGTACATAAGTCAAAATATTCCATCTTCCTGGTTTGCCTCATTATTGTGCCTCCACCGTGTTCATTAGTGTGCCCGTCCATGAACTTTTGGATTTGCTCCCACTGAAAAGGGGAAAAAAAAAAACTTTCTGTGGAGGATTCTGAAATATTAATAATTTCACTACCAAGGTAGCCTGTCATTCTGCGAAATCACAACTTTAATCACTGCAGAAAATGTTTTCTGGATGCCATGTTTTTATGTTGCAGTACTATTAATCTATCCTAGGATACACAAAAGATAAAGCAGTTATTTAGATTTGTTGAAGCTGATTTTTTATGTATTTTTTTCCTCCATTCACTATTTACTCACACCTACTCTCCTCCCATCAGTGGCTGTGTTGTGACAAGCTGTTCATAATTCAGTCCTGAGGCAAAATTGCAGCTCCACATAAAAAAAAAAGTAATAGACAATACAGCTACATTTCACTTCACTGAAGGGCACTTAGACACATTAGACACTCACAGCATGAGACAATGAGGACAACAACAACCATGACAGCACAACACAAACAAACCACAAGAATCAACTTTGTTTCATTCATATTTTCAGAACACACACACACAAGAGTAATAATATATTAGTAATACATTCAAAAACAGAGGGAAATTAAGTACACATAAACACATGCAGTTGTCACACAGGAAACTGAAGATGCACATACATCAGAAAAAAAAAGAAATCACAAACAAGGATTAAAAGATAACATTCAAATACAGATCCAATGCTCACACACACAGTAGGGCATAAATGTACAACACACAGAGTCAACTATCTGATCTGGATGCCTGAGGCCTGTCTGTCATTCCAAGAGTTTCATTCATCAGCTCTCAGCTCTCTACCATGACTGAAAACCACTGTCGATCTACCGGAGAGACAGAGACGGGCTTAACAATGAAGACAGGAAGGAAAGACTACAGGAGGGGAGCGAGACACCAAGGCTGACTGGCTGACTTTGCCGTTTTTCCCACTACAGTTTGCTACAAAAAGCACCAAAGCTTATGATCGCTGTACGCTCACACACACACACACACACACACACACACACACACACACACACACAGAGTTACCTCCTGTCCCCATGGTAACCTGGAGGCAGCGAGGGAGGGACCTAACTATAGAACTTTTCACCCAGCAACAACACACACGGACACACACTATGCGTCAAATTTCTCACATATGGCTTGCACACACTTGCACCTAGTGTCTCTCATTTACACAAACAAAAAATATGTCACTGACTTGTGAGCAGACAACTGCTGATTTAATCTGTCGAGTGAAAGTAGCGTGTATCATTTGTCACTGACACTTCATTCTTTTAAAGCTACTCTGCCCAAAGTCTTTTCAGTCTAAATGGTCTAGTCAGACCCAAAACACAAACTGATACCATAAGCCCCTTCTAATCACTCCTGGCCCCTCCTATCATGTCCTGTTTCCTAGCGATGACGTAACAATGGATACTCAGTTGCCACACACTATTCAAAATGCAGCCTCCAGTGCGAAGCTAGCATTAGCTGACTAACGAGTGGACTCGGTCTGGTATAGCGCTTTGCTTAATGCTTGTTTCCTGTTCCTGCAGTAATCGTATTCACTTCCTGCTTGCTACCAGAGTGTTTACGGATTAAGCTCACTTACATTAAATTCAGATTAAGTTCAGATATTCCTCTGCCTCCTTTAGCAATAATGGTACTTGTAATAAATGTCAGATGCTAATTTGCAGCGCGGCTCCACACCATGGAAAACAGCCCAGCTAGCTATGCCCATATAGCCAGTGCGGGGCCTGCTAGACGTAGCTTAGCCCAAGCTAGCCGCCCCCAGAGCTTCCCAAGCAGCCGGGATCTCAGCCAGGTGGCTGGGTGACAGTTTGCAAGAGTCGTAGCTCAAAACAAATGCCCACTGTGCATCACCTGGCTGTTCATATTTCAAATCGATTTTGCCCACTTAGCAACACACCCGCTGAGAAAACAACTCTGGTAATTGGAGACTCCATAGTCAGAAACGTGAAGCTAGAGACACCGGCGGCCATAGTCAAATGTTTTCCTGGGGCCAGAGCGGGCGACATTGAATCCTATTTGAAGCTGCTGACTAAGGATAAGCTTAAGTACAGTAAGGTTGGTATTCACGTCGGCGCTAATGACTCCCGACTTTGCCAGTCGGAGGTCACTAAAACTGACCAGTGATGACATGTTTAGCTTGTTATTCAACCACTGGCTGTCTAGATGGTGCCCAGAAAACGATGTGGGCTTCATAGACAATTGGAAAACCTGGCCTGATTAGCAGAGATGGCATCCACCCCACTTTGGGTGGTGCGGCTCTCATATCTAGAAATCTGGACGAGATTATTTTACAACCTAAATTATGACAACTCAGAGTTGAGACCAGGAAGCAGTCTTACACGCCTCTCTGCTGTCTCTTTGCAGCTGCTACCCACCCAAAACCCCCAGTACCCCACAGAGACTGTATCTGCCCTCCGACCACCTAAATTATGCAAATCAAAAATCTACTCAAAATAAGTTATTCATAAGAACCTAATTAAAATTAGGACTACTTCCCTTATGGAACAAAACAACAGGACAATAAAATGTGGACTATTAAATATTAGACCTCTCTCATCTAAATCTGTTAGTGAATGATAAACCAACATCACATTCATTTATTGTGTCTTACTGAAACCTGGTTACAGCAGGAAGAATGTCAGTCTAAATGAATCCACCCCACCTAACCAGAGAAATGTGAATATTTCAGTAAAAAGACCATCATCAGCACAGCTTACAGACCCTACAATTCTACCGACATAGACACCATCAGTAAAGACCAACCAGGACAAAGGAGGCCAAGTTGTTCCACATTAACTCATTGGCCACTAAGGTCTGATCACACAACCCTATTCTGCCGTTCATTCA